CTTTTTCATCCTCTTGAACAAATACGGTAAAAAGTTATTATTTTAGGTTTGACTGTTGAATAGTTAATTTTAGATATACTTAGTATATTGTTTATAAATATCAAAATATAATATTGGACTAGATTGATGGTTAATTTAAATTATAAATTTATCCGTTCAAATTCGATACAATTGGAATTGTGGGTTTAGTTTCATTTTTATTTTCTTTTGGATGTGTTATTCCGATGTGTTTTAATCTATCTCAATTAATATTAGATTTTATTGATGGCATTGGTTTGAATGTTATATATTGGATCAAATTTTAATGGGTAAAGTACACAAATGATCCCCGAATATAGGGTATTATTTTATTACGTCTCTCGACTATTAAAATTTATAAGATGGTCTTCCGACTATAGAGTGTTACTTTGTTGAGTCCCTTGACAATCAAAAGTTACAAATGATCACCCACTATTTATATGTTTCAAACCCTTCCTTTTCTGTTAAAAAATTGGTGATTGTCTAAGTTGGTCGTTAACATTAGGGTGTTAAAAAATACCGGGCCCGTTGACACGACGACCCGAACTTAAAAAACTGGATAATTTTCTAAAAAATATTACTCGAACGGTACTTGACCATGATTTTTCCCATGTAGTTGGGTCGGGTCCATGCAAAAAATTTAATAATCGGGTACCTAGCCCGACCCGGTAGTTTTAATATATATATACATATTAGTTTAAATTATATTTTTTATTTTAGGTTACTTAATATTTTTAATTTAAAATAAAAATAAAATCCCTAATTTTTTAGGTTTGTATTATGTACATTTAAATTTTAATATTTTTAAAAAATAAAATTTATTTGAGAATCAAAGGAAAAATCACATTTGATATTAATTTTTTTAATTTTTTTAGAAATAAACTTTAATATATATACATATATCTAAATATTTATCCTTAAAACTAACTTCAATCACTAATTATTGTATATGATTGTGTATATAAACTTTTTATGGACACTAGGGTTTTAAGAGTACCCGAAGAACCGAGTACCTAGTACTTTGGGTACCTAGAAATGCAGGTACCCGAATTTGAACACCCCTAGTTAACATGATGATTGGATGTGATAATCGTTTGAGATTATGAGATAATATTTTATCATATCATAGTCAGCAAGTTAACGTTTAACTCATAATACCGTCAAATTTTTAACATAAAATGAAAATTTAGAACATAATGAATAATCAGGCGATTACTTTGTAACTTTTGAAAGTCAAGTGACTCAACAAAATAATACTCTATAGTCGGAGGATCATTTTATAACTTTAATAGTCGATGACTTGATAAGGCAGTATCATAGAGTCGAGGACCATTTATGTACTTTACCTAATTTTAATTGATAATTAATTTTTTTATTATAATTTTAGTAGTTAAAGATTATTTGGTGATTAAATTTCATCTAAAGATTCTTTGTGATCTATTTTGTTTGCTTTATATATTTATCTATAAATAGAGAGTAAGCCTTAGCCTTTAATATTATATAAGAGTGAAATGTTTTTTAGAAATGTAATTATTTTATTATCTTTATAACTTTTAGGGTGCATGTTGTATATATAGGTTTTATATGGATGTTAAAAGAGTGTTTTGTGATATACTTAATTTTTTTATTCATATCAGATTATGAGATACGAGATAATTTCATGTACATGTACTCTTTTTTATTTATACGTTTATAATAAATTATTATTTTTTTCGTTCGTGGATTACAACATCGACCTAATCCTTTTTTAGAATCATTAGTTGATCAGTAAATTATCATGAGGTCGGACTCACATGTAAAAAGAAGTCTTATCGTTCGAAGTCGAAGTTGATAATTTAACCCTAAATTATGACTAAACTTAAACTTCATTAATTTTTTACATAATATGATTATAATATATTATATATTTATAATTTTTTAATAATAATATGTATCTTACAAAGACAACTGCTCGAATATGAAACTTAAAAAAAACTAATCCAACAACCCTAAATGTTTGAAAAGAGAGGAAATCACTGACTTTGACAAGTTTGACAAAACCTTTTCCGACTGTCACCACTCATGGCCCCACTTCACCAAGTGGGAGGGGATGTGAAATGCACAAGGGTTGAAATGTCCTCCACGTGGCATAATCACAGAGGCTGTCAAGCTGCAAGAATGACAGGGAAGCACGTGCGAGGGCTGAGTAGGCACAGTAGGGAATTGTTCGATTCTCGTGCACCCTTCCGACTATGGCGACTGCCTCGTATTCATTTGTCGAAATTGTGCTGACGTCAAATAAGATCATTTAAAAAAGATTTATTTAATTTTCTACGATCTTTATTTGTATTATTTAAATGGAATGACAAAATACACTGTTAAAAATATAATTATACATTTTAAATGTAAACTATAAAATAGACAAAAAAATATATCTAATTTTTTCATAACGATTTATGTATAATAAAATATTATAATTTATTAAAAATTTAGAAATATTAATAAATTAATTATTGAATTTAATAATACAATCATATATAGCATATAAGTAAAATTTTAAGTCAATAATTCAAGATATATTTTTTATGATTTATTATCATATGATACATATCAAACATATTATATTACATATCTATATTAGCGAAATGTACGACTCTTTAGCCATCAATTGATGTCCTTGATTATTTGAATTGATTTTTTTCATTCAACTTTATTCTCCTATTTTGATTAATATGTCGTTAAATAGTTAACGACATTAAAATCGATGTCATTCTAAAACAACAAAACTTTTACAAAAATGAAGTCGTTTTGCATCTATATAACAACCCATTTTAAAGCTGTTAACTACTTAATTGCCGAGCAACCAAAAAACTCAATGTATTAAGTTCATGAAGAAATTGAAATGATTTAAAGTATAGTGAGTGAAATAGGAAAGATAATAAAGTTCAGTTACCAGATTTGTATTTTACCCTAATTTTTAATGACTAATGGGAAAAGTTCAAATGATGGATGAAATAAAAGTAAAAAAATGACAGTCATCGAAAAAAATAGTAAAAATTTCATTCCGGTACATGAACCAAAATATATATTTTTTATGAAATAAAGATATAATAAGGTTAGTCAATCAAGTTTTACAAAATTTTACACATTCATATTTCTTCTTATTATTTTTTTGAATTAATCAGTGGTAACCAATCTATTGACCGACGAATTCAGATCGGGTATTGCAAAGACGAGAGCGATCATTCTAATCCAATTTGCTCCATTCGCAAACATTAGATTGAACCATTGACCTTGCTTAAGAGACCTAATGCCTCATCCCACTAGATATTCTTCGTATATTATTAAATTTCCAATTTTTTCTTATTAATTAATTAAGAAATAAAGTCAATACCAGAAATATCTTTTTCGGTTAAGTTTCGTCTTGGTTAATCCAGATCGACAAAACCGATCTCTTCGTGTATTAGAATACGAACCACTAATGTGCTACATTTGGGTAAGATTACTGTTAAAGCACATAATTTCCTTAATTTATCCTCTTCACAATTCGAAGACGAATCAAACAATATGTTTCATTTACTGATAAATTTTCTGATCGATCTTTCCACAACCAATATTAGAGAGTAACATCTTTTAAATTATAAATCTTAATTAAATCTTAAAAATTAAATATAAATATCTTCAAAAATATAATATTAAACGTGTAATAAGTTCCAAAGGCCCTTGACACCTTTAAAAATTAATTATTATTTTTATTTTTATTATATAAAATCATTTCCATCACGTTATTTATATAAATATCCAATTATATCACGTAATTCATCATACTTTTTTAATGTTTAATTTATTAAAATCTGAAACTCGTGCATACTTTTGTTGAGTTTGCGTGAGACTCGTACCATCTCTACCTTGTTTATGTTTCAATGACATGAAATGATTTTAACCTTAACACGTATACTTTATATATATATTTATTGGCGGATCCAAAATATATTTTAGGATAAGCATGTATGTATAAATAACAAAAAAATTCGTATGAGACGAGCGCAAATAAAAGTTTTGTATGGACAATTTCAGTAAAATGAAAAACTATCAGTCAGATAATGTATAAATTTATACCCGAATAAAGTTAAAGAAATGAATTTATCAAACATAACTTCATGTTGGCTATTAGGGTTCAAATGAGGACTAAGAATATCTTACTGTTGATTAGGGTTCATGTATATGGCTATGGACTGCCACATGATAACTTATAATTGCATGCACAGATGAATTGGTGCCCAAATCAAGTAATCTAAAGACTATTCAAGACAGAGACCCTATCCCCCATTATTAAAGGCTGATATGTGGGGAAAAAATGGAAAACTCCAATATCTACAACTGTTTTAAGTGTTTGATGCAGCTTTTGGTTTACATGTTTAGTCTTTTCCTACATGCTCATATATATACCATGCATATACATACATACATGCATATACATACACGCATGCATAGGATAGAATCAAGCACATAAAAGGCCAGCAAGAGATAAGATAAGAAAGAAGGAAGGAACATAAATGATACTAAAACAGGAATGCTTCTGTTTGCCCACCTGACGCATGATCCCCTTATCAGTACTTGATTGATTTGTCAAATTCCCCATAGCTATATATTCTATTAAGTGTTTGATTAGAATCCCGTAATCCACCTCAGAGATAAAACGGAGTCTCGTTTTTCTTAGAATTCTTGAGTTCTGACAGTTTCGTCTTCGGTGTGTGGTTTCATTGTAAATGACTAGGAAAATTATGAACATATACAAATGTACACGGCAACGACTACTGTTTTGATCATAGTAAAAGAAATGAAGTCATTAAAATGTAGGGTAATATCCATTAATGGAGATGAAATGCAGAAGGGAAAGGTCTTTAAGACAAAACGATCTAGTAATTGCAGATTAAAGTAATTAAGATGAGATGACTGATTATTAAGAAAAAAAACATTGGAGAAACCCTTTTGCCATGCAGATAGATGATAACGTCTTTTCATTTTTATGTTTTTGCTTACTGGTTTTGGCTGGGAGCCGGCGGAAGAGACGGTGGCTGTGGTGGTGGAGGAGGGGGAGCTTGAGGTGGTCGCTTTCGTTTCTTCTTCTCATAGCTTATGCCTCTTGCTTTAGCCTGTGAATCACGAACCTCACGTAGGTAAAGCCTAATAGCCTGGCACCGAAAGGGTTAGCTTCGGGTTTGCCGCCGTGTTCTTCGAAGGCGGCACGGAGGCGTCCGATGAGAGCATCGAGGCTTCCCCAAGCTTGCCGGAGAGGACAAGGGCATGGAGCCGGAGGGTTAGGGTGACCGAAGAAAGGACAAAGCTGGGTGTGCACTTTGGTTTTCCCGAACTGGTCAAGGTACCGGAGGAACTCCAGGACGTGGGCGCCGCTGCAGCGGGAAAGCGAGAGCGGCGGGCGGTGGTTCCGGAGGTACTGCCCGAAAGTGTTCCAGTCACGCCGCTTTTGGTTCTCGTAGCGGCTGAGAGTCGAAGGAGAAGCCGATGATGATGAAGAAGAAGAAGCCGCAGCTGGTAAAGGGTTCGCGTTGGCGTTGGAGGTCATAGTGATGGTGGTGTTCACGGTGGTGCTTACGGTGGCGATGGAGAGGTCTGCAGGGAAACATGGGGTCAAAATGGTGGCGGAAGAAGGGCTTGAATTCGAGGGTTCGAAACCCTGAAGGGAATCCATTCAAAGAAAATTATCCAGATCGATAGATGACTGAAAATAGAGAATTTTACATAGCAAAGGAAGACTCAATAATGGCAGGAGAAAGAAGATGATGATGAGAAGGGTATATAGGGAGTTTTTTTTAAGAACAATAATTATTTACGAGAGATGAAATATATAGGGAATTCAGGGGAGAAAAGAATAGTGTAGTGAAAGGTAGGGTATAATGATAGTCCCATTGCTTTTCTTTGAGGTTTCAATCTTTTGTTTGATCAATCCTAGATAACTTCTCATCATGCATACACACATATGTAAATATAAATAAAATATAATATTTTTTATAATTAAGTGTAATTATTTATAATCAATAATTATAGATGAGTGATATATGGAATAAAATATAATCAAATGATAACTATAACACCAACGAAGGTTGACATAAGTATTTGGGATTCAGGAATTTGAGCATGTAAGGTCAGGTTCGAATTCAACCACTATTACTCTTTATGGACAATCTGTAAAGTCCTATATAAATCCCAATTGAGTCTTAGGTACACCCTGGTCCTGGATTGAAAGAGCCACCCTTGACCTAAACTTTGTGTACCAAAAAAAGAAGAAGAAGATGATAACTATAATTAAGTATGTTTATTTGAATGCCATGTGATATATTCGTATAATCTAAACCATAAACTCTAATTTTATATATAAAAATCTTAAACCCCAACTGAGTTATAAAGAAGTAATTAACAATACACACTACAAACGTAACTATTTGAATATGACATATTTAGAGAGAAGTACTCTTTTTTATCATCTATTTAATAATTAATACTTAAACATTTCTTAGAGATGATGTGCTCGAATCTAAATTTTTTAACAATAATTACATTAATTATTGAGAAGTTGAATGAATTATGAGCAACACATTAGTATATTAAAAGTGTTTTTTTTTTTCAAAATGAAAAAAATATATTTTTTATGAATATTTAGTCCTTGAAAATGGGTGAAGTAAACTATCACTTCACCGAGAAAGAGAGAGAGAGAGAGTGAGAATAAGAATGAGGAAATATTACCGCGATCTTAATATACATATAAGAAAATACGTTATCGATTTTGTTATTATTATTTTTTTTTGTAAAATTAATCGGAAATTTTATTATTTTTACCTAAAACATTAATGTTTTTAATATTTCTGGTAAAATGTCCAATAATAACAAAACTAGTAAAAAAATAATGTTTTAGATAACGATTTAACAAACCCAATAAAACGACCAATAATAACAAAAACAGGTAGAAATAATAATATTTTCGATAAATTTTTATCAATTTTATTAAAAAAATAATAAAAAAATCAATAACATTTTTTTTAATCGTATATTAAGATCACTACACGTAAGAAATTCTCACAGAACGGGGGCTTTACTTGGAAATGGAGTGAGGTTTTCTACAGTTTAGGAAAGAGATGATGGAGACATGATAAAGCCATTTAGGGTGGAATAACATGATTCAGTTTCTTCCCCCTTTGATTGACATTTGACATCTCCTTTCCCCATTTCACTACTTTACCCTCCCCACTTTCACAATAATTAAGGGCAAATATGTAATTTACATAGAAATTTCATATTTATTTATTTTTCTCGAATCAAACGATCTATGTAATAAATGAATCTTTATTATTTTTTAAGAATTTATGTTCGAGCATCATAAATATCAGGATTGTGAGTCTTTTAATGTGAAAAAAAGTTGAGAATAATATTTGAATAGATATTATCTTATAATTACCTAAATTAATCATAAAAAATATTTGATTTAATTTTAAAGGTTAATTTTAGAGGTTTTAGATTGAAACGTGATCCTAAATATATTTAAGCTTCCGTTATCAAATAAATAAAACTTGAAATTTTTTCAAATAAATATTATTTTATAATAAATTTCATATTAATAAAATGAAATGAAATTCGAAAATAAATAATTTAAATTCAAATATTTAATTGCACTAATAGTTCACGTACGCGTGTTGGTATTTATGGATTTAGGAAAGCAAAAGCTTGAAGTATAGGCGTAACTTGCATCACCCGGAAGCACGAGTCAATCAAGCAAACAGTTCATGTGACCAACAGTTCCAAACCCTATTTCTTGGTCCAATTTAGGAAAACTTTCGATTTGTCAAAATAAACGAGACGGACACGTAATTTTATGTTAAGGGATAAATTTAAATTTTTAAAATTTTACGGATCTAATTTAAATTTATAAAATTATAGAAAACAAAAATAAATTTTCAATAAAATGACATAAAAAATTAAAATTTCAAAGGGCGACTATCCTACCCGTCCCCTCGATCCTTCTCGGATTTATTTATCCTCAGTAGACATCACTTACTTTTTACAGATAAGATTAGATCAAATTTTTAAAAATTTTTGATCTTTTATATGCAATGATAATTGATGTATCAATAATAGTCGAGTTAATATATTTATATGTTATTTTTTTAATAAATTAGTATTATTTATTAAGCCACTAACGTATATTATTGGTAAGAAAATGAGAAAATATGAATACTTTGCATAAGAGTAAAGTATGAGACTTTTATAAAAGGATTTAAGACTTAATTACTGAATTAAATTAAGCATTTGTTACATTTTATGGAGCTTAAATAAAATTAATTTCTATTACGTTTTACCCAAATTCTATTTTTTTAACGATTTTACTTTTTTTTTTTCATTTTGATCAAACTTATCCTTAAATTATAACAAATAATATATTTAAGTTAAAAATGTATTTTCCTCTTTCTTTTCTAGTTGCTTATTCTTCTTCTTAAATTTAATTTATTTATTGGAAAAAATATGAAATTAATGATTAAATCACTATAATAAATCAATGATCAAACCCAAATTTAATCATAATTAAGTTATATAATTCTTGTAACAGGTATAGATTTTTAAAGTTCAAAATTTAATCTACGTGCCCTTCAATCAAATAGTTATAGATATTCATGCACTTGAAAGCGAGACCAGGGGCTGGCAGGAGACTTGCCTCTTAGTTTTGGTAAAATACTCATTTCAATCCTCTAAAATTTCAAAATTTTAGTAAATAAAATGATAAAATTTCTCTTTGCACCCTTAAAAAGATTCATTTGTTCTAAACATGGTAAATATCTTTGAAGTAATATTGGGAATAATCCAGGCGGAGAAGAAATTTTGAAAAATAGAGGTGTTTTAGAATTATTATAGAATCTAATACATTTGTTACGGTGCACGTGAAATTCGTCACGTCAACGTGATGAATTTCATAAAAATTTATTAAAAGAGTTGAAATTTGTCGTATGAAATGGTAAAATTGTATGAAATTCATTATGTCCACGTGACAAGTATCAATTTTTTTAATATATTTTTTTAAACTTGTTACATCAACGTGACGAATTTCACGAGCATCGTAACAAATGTCTTAAGGCCCAAAATAATTCTCAAACACCCTCAGCCAACAAAGCCAAATAGTAAAACTATTATATTGTCCTCATAAAAATTTATAATTTAATCTTAGCCCTAATAACTATTTATTAATTAGTGTTGAAAGTACAATACCAAATAAGGTAAATTCAGTACTACTAAAAAAGAATCAAAACGTGGACAAAATATAAACTCCGACACCTCTCATAACTCATATTTTGACTAAAAAAACTAGAAATAAACAAAAAGAGAGGGACTGAAAAAGATTATATTGGCATCTTTCCTTATTCTGAAAACAAAAAATCATATTCCAGATAAACAAAAAGAATATCTTTTCCTAAATATATATGCTTTGTCCAAATGATGTTTAATTAGTGGCTTTTAATTAAGGCAAGGAGATTAGATTAGCTTGGAATTCACTAGTAAAAATGGAGGATCAAAATCCATACCAAAAGCAAAGCCTACCCGAATTTGTCTCCCCACTCTGCTTTTTCACTTTAATTATCAAAAAGCAAGTCCTCAATCTTCCTTTTCTCGACCATTAGGAGCTCTTTTTGAGATTTTATGTTCCTAATACGACGCTTTAAACCCAATCAAAATCTTAATTATTCTAATTACATTGATGCTAATCAGATTTCATGAGGAAGCTCACTGCTCGTCATTGAAATCTAATAATACATCTCAGTGCATCATACAAACAAAACAGAACCAGACTTGATGAGAAAATCATAAAGCATGCATTTTTGTTTGTTATTACAACATTTAAGTTGAGTTTCAATTTAGGAAATCTTTCATTGGATCGTCGTGGTGTACCCTCTTCATTCGATACGCCTCCATTTCCTCGGCGGTAACTTCATTGTTCCACTTGACGTTGTACTTACGCTTTCTTTCGTCTTTCTCTTCTCTCCTCCTCTCATCCTCCTGTCAAGATTAAGCATGAATAGATATATAAGTACACAATCGTTTTGGTACACAACGTGATAGAAGTCGTGTTGTACATCATGTTTACCTTCTTCAGAGCATCGGCGAGACGCTTCTCATCGAGAACAAGGTCCTCGGGTACATCAGTACCCCACGTAACATGTTTCTTCTCCTCTGCAGGAGGAGGAGCATCTGTGCAGAGAATAGAGATGCAAGGATTAAAAACATGAAAGTACTAAACTCTGCGAAAATCATGGAACTAGAAACAGCAGAGGATTCTCTAAAGTTCAGGGATATAAAAATATAAGTCAGCTCACTATCTAGACCCCATTAGATGAATTTATGTAAAACCAAAATTACCTGCAACAAAAAATATGAACTTTAAAGATCATAACTTAGAAGAATGCGTCTCAACTTAAAGAAATAGTTTGAAGTGTGTAAGAACTCACCTTCAGACACTTTACGTGCAATATTTGCCTTCATCAAGTCTGTTGATGCTTCTGCAGCCTCAATTCCGGCTGCACCAGTACAGTAACTATTGCGTATTGTCTGTCTACAGCACTTGTAACCCCACTGGTGATCCTTCCACCATGAACCCCAAACAGTGGTGTGGTTATTAATGAAGACGTCCTCTTCATACTTGCTTTTCGGAAGGGATGTTTCCTGTGGAAGAAAGTTCACAAACAAAATT